ACACACACACACACATATACACACACATATATATGTATGTATATTATATAAATAATACAATATATAAAATTCATACACGGAAACATGTAGATCATGTTTGCCAATTCCTTCATTTTACAGACCAGGAAACTGAGGTCTAGCCTAGAGGAAAGGAAGTGACTCTTCAACGGTCACTCAGCCAGTGCTGGAGAAATACTTCTGAAGCATCCATCTTATATAAAAACTGCTGTTTGAAATTTTAACCCTGCCATTTTGGCTCCTGTAAATGCTTGCTGGCTTAAATAATAAGGAAAATAAGACAACTCCCATTCCAGAGAGGCCATAAACCTTCCCCAGACGAAGTTATCAGTGCTGGCACCAGGCCAGGCCTTCCTTTGATTGAGGTCTCAAAGCCCCAGCACATAGGTCTCTTTAAGAACTTGCAAAGGGGACCGAAAATCCCGTATTTGGGAGACAAAGAAGGTAAAAAGATATAAATAGGGAAATTTCCTCCATGTTGGGGCCCAGAATTTGAAATACAGTTTTCTCTCGGCCCATGCGTAATAATAATAATAATAATAATAAAGTGTAACTCCATCTCTCTAAGCGTTGCTTGGTTCTTCTCCGGTCTTCTGTAATACTTCAAACACTTACACTCATCTCTTGGACTTTCAGTCCATAAATTACTACCTAATCCTTTTAGAATCTCACAATTTTAAGCCACGTTTTACCCTGCTGTCTCCTCCCTGTCCTGACAAATGCACAGAAGGCAGTTCTGGTCCACAGTCACAGTAGTAACCTGAGTCTGTTAAGCGTTGCTTGGTTCTTCTCCAGTCTTCTGTAACACTTCAAACACTTACACTCATCTCTTCGACTTTCAGTCCATAGATTACTACCTAATCCTTTTAGAATCTCACAATTTTAGGCCACGTTTTACCCTGCTGTCTCCTCCCTGCCCTGCCAAACGCACAGAAGGCAGTTCTGGTCCACAGTCACAGCCCACGCCTAGTAACTTGAGTCTGCGCCAGGTCGCAGTGCTCATCCATATTGTTCCATGGATTTACAGATGTTTCCCAGCCCCTGGCGCCCCACAGGTTTTCAGCAGGTGCTAAGGAATGATGATGGTGAAGATAATAAGCCTAAGAGGTCGGAATCCCAGCGGTTTCCAGCCCTTCTGCAGCTCCTTGTTGCGTCTCTGGAGAGCTGTCTCCGTTCCTGCAGTTACCTCCCAGCTCAGCGGTTCCCCGGAGGGAGAGTTGGGCTGAAGAGGCTCAGTCTCCCGCCCAGGGGATCACACACAGTCCTCCCGGAGGCCTCATCAGGAAGCCCCAAAACCTCTGCCTCCTGGTGAAAGGGCCTCTTCCCTCAGCATCAGCTTCCACTATGACTGATTATGATGCATTATTTCTCTGCATGCAGAGGCCTTGCAGTGGTTCTCAACCTTCCTAATGCCGCGACCCTTTAATACAGTTCCTCATGTTGTGGTGACCCCCAACCATAAAATTATTTTCGTTGCTACTTCATAACTGTAATTTTGCTACTGTTATAAATCGTAATGTAAATATCTGATATGCAGGATGTATTTTCATTGTTCGCGACCCACAGGTTGAGAACCACTGCCTTAGAGCAACTTAATTCAGTATATGGAAGTATTTAGTATATTTAAGTAATTCCTTATTTTGACAAAGTTCTTATCTGGGACTTTTCTCATTAAAGATGCTAGAATTTAAAGGTTCTTTATTCCTGTGGCTGTAGGTGTAAAAGGTAGAATTAACCATTCACTCATCAACTCAACAAATACTGAGTCCTTACTTCATGCCAGGCATTGGGCAAGTTACAGGGAAGTGAGTAATGAATTGAGGCAGGAGTCTAAACTTCCTGGAAACTCACAGAGTCATTTAGAGTTCCCTCCTCACCCTCCCCGAAAACCTCCTTTCAGGCCTCAGCCTAAGTAGAGACAGGCCGTTCACACCCACACGAAGTACTCTGTCAATTTTCAAATGTTTTCAGTCTATTTTTTGGAAAGGACTGCAGTCTCTCTACAGCTTGCCTTAGCTGTTTTGGTAGACACTTTATACTATTAACACATTAACAAATGCAGTCTATGACATCCATGATTCCTAAATACAAGTTGGTATAGTTATCCCCCTCATACAGTCCTATGGATTTTAGCACTTCATTCCAGGTATAGAAGTAGCCCTTTGAGTCCTGAGTTTGCCCTTCACCAAGTTGGTGCCATTCTCACATTAGGTTAGTTTGCTGGCATTTTCTACATCCAAGTGAGCAAATTAGATGGTGATCTCAACAATTCTAAGAAGAGCCTCTAGAAGCCCCTGACCTGTCAATCAGCATCTATGACATGGGCATTCTATCTCCTACAAATGCACTTTATCAAATGCCTTGCTGAAATGCAGATACATTGTGGTCACATCTCTCTAATCTATCTTGGTTAATAATTTGGGTTTGGAAGAATCAGGTGGGCAAGACTTTTAATTTTTTTTATGAGTTTTTTGACTTTTGGAAGTTACTTTTTCACCTATAAAATAGGAATAATTATACCTACCCATAGGGTGATTGTGAGAAAGATATAATGTATGTATGATGCTTAGGGCATGGTAGCATTCAATAAATTGTAGCAATTATTATTAGCTCCTAACAAAAAAACAAAACAGTTTTATCTGAAATAATATTGTTTTCAGCAGTCCTTAACACAGTAATCACAGCTCCTCATTGTACTCACAATCAATCTGTTGACCAATTCGTTCACAATGTTGGTAAAGAATCAACATTAAACTGCTGCTAGTTTTTTATTTTTCCCTCCCTCCCTCCTTCCCTCCCTTCCTTCCTTCCTTTCTTCCTTCCTATTTCTTTTTGGGGTCAGGGAATATTTGCTTATACTAGCTCCTCAAAACTTTAGTGATTTCCTCTATAAATTCTTCTAGCAGCTGGGCTGAAATTGTCAAGAGACTTGAACTTAAGGCAGGTGGTCTCTTCCTCTTTACTAACCTGTTTTAGGCTCTTCTCCCTTCTTAGATACATTTCTTAAAAGCTTTTCTGCCTAAATTTTAACCAAAAAAGTTTAAACCAAAGTTAAGCTGGAGTATTGCTGATCCCATCTCTCATTCCCATGACTCCTAGCTTTGGGGAAACAAGAATGAGATGCAGAAAGTATCTCTACCTTGTCCTTGTCTAAGGGTGTGTGGGGTCTTCATGACCAGGCATGACCCAGGGCCACGGCCAGAAGCAGCAGGTCCCTTGCCCATTTGGGCCAGTCTGCACATAAGCCAAATTTATTCACTTGTGTTCTCTATTGGTTAGTTTGGAAAAGATGATGCACCTGCCATATCTTTGTGAGTTTAAAGCCAAATATTAAATAGCTAAATTATTTTATTGTTTAGGTGTTCCATGGTTCTTTGTTTTGAGCTTTTGAGTACTGAGACTAGAACTACTGGTGCCCTGACATTCACAAGGCTGCATTGGCAGACATGCACATAGAATAGTCGTGAGCTCTATCCATTTTTTAAAAATATATATTTTTATTGCTCTCAGAGAGGAAGGGAGAGGGAGAGAGAGATAGAAACATCACTTATCAGCTGCTTCTCTCACACCTCCCGTTGGGGATGAGCCCATAACCCAGGCATGTGCCCTTGACTGGAATCAAGCCCAGGACCCTTCAGTCCCCAGGCCAATGCTCTATCCACTGAGACAAACTGGCCAGGGTGAGCTCTATCTAATTTAACAATGCTTGATACTATTTGAACACACATTTGCTGAGCATCTATTATTATGCCAAGCTGTGACTAAATAGACATCCCTGCCTTTAGGTTAGGGTATTTATGGTTTGGTAAGGAAGATATGTTACTAGTTATATAAGTAATTGCATATAAAATAAGTAAAACCATATATAAATTGCAATAAATGAAATTAAAGAAAGAGGAGAATGCTATGAGGAGAAATAACCAGGAGCATTTTGAGATTGTGGAGTCAGGGAAGGTTTTCCTAAAGAACTGAAATTTGCCTAGCCAGTGTGGCTCAGTGGTTGAGCATTGACCTATGAACCAGGAGGTCACAGTTCAATTCCTGGTCAGGGCATATGCCAGGGTTGCAGGCTCAATCCCAAGTAGGGGGTGTACAAGAGGTAGCCAATCAATGAATCTCTCTCATCATTGATGTTTCTATCTCTCTCTCCCTGTCCTTTCCTCTCTGAAGTCAATGAAAATAAATTCTTTTAAAAAGAAACATTTAAGGCTACACCTGAAATTTGAATAGAAGTTCTCTGTGCAAAAATACTAGGAGAACCACACTTTAGGCAGAGAAAATAGATGTGGGAATGGGCAAGAGGGCCATGTTACAGCTCAGAGAACAAGAGAGAAAGGCCAACAGGAGAGATGGGGGAGACAGACAGAGTCAGATAGCACAGAGCTGAAAACATATAGCTAAGGTACTTAGGACAAATAATACGGTTCCCCACTATTGCAGTGATGTCCTATAGGGCCAGGTTAGAGGCCAGGACAAAGTCATAGGTCCATAGTGATTCACTACTACAGTTCAGGTTCAGGCTCTAAAAGTGATGATTAAATAGTGCTGAGGCTGTTCTGTTATATATCTGCATTGTAGACTCCATGCACACATCTGAATTATTCGTTGCTATGTCCTTTGCCCGAGCCAAATGCCTGGCACAGAGTAAGTTTTTAATAGGATTTTATAGAACAAATGGAAGTGTTCTTTTTTTTTTTAATTATCACCCAAGGATATTTTTCCATTAATTTGAAGAGAGAGTAGAAGAGAGGGGGGAAGAGAGAGAAATATTGATGTCAGAGAAACATTGATTAGTTGCCTCCTGCACGTGCCCTGCCCAGGCCCCTGGCCGGGGCAGACCTGCAACCGAGGTATATGCCCTTGACCCGAATTGAACCCAGGACCCTTCAGTCTGCAGACCGACACTGAGCCAAACCGGCTAATGCTGAAAGTGTTCTTGAAGCTAATGAAGAAAACTCCATGTATTTCCACATAATACCTAAAAGAGATATCTTAAACTACCCAAAAGTTCAGGAATTATATAACAGTATGAAGTCCCAAAAGAACCAGGAGATCTTCCCAAAACAGAGTCTGCAGGGCTTATCATCTGCATTGATATAAAAGGATATGTCTTTTTTTAAAAATAATTACCCATATAAGTGTAGTAGCTAGAAGGTTGGGAAGAATTTATGGTACGTAACCAACTTTGTTAATGTCTTTATAGGGAAGAAATTTTTATATTGTGAGCCACACAAGAGGATTAAGGAAGTACTGGAAGAAGAACTCTATATTAAGAGAGATGAATGCCACATTAAAAATACACCTGCAGGTAATCTCAGAGACAAATGAGTGTACAGTATTTGTGAAATGGATATGAAATTGCCTATTTGATTGCAGAATGATTATTTATTGCAAAATCATGACTATCAAAAGAAAAATGGTTCTTTGAGGAAATTATTGAGCTAATTTTATAATTATTTACCTATACCCAAATAAGCTGTTATATTTAGAAGAAAAAATTATTAAATATCAGTATCTACATTGCTATCTCAGGTTTTTTGAAGTGATTTCTATGACAAGCAGGTGCCTGAAAAACACAATAACATCTTTGATCTTTATCAACATAGGCATGACCAATAACAGTGGTTCCCAACGTTAGATTTCATCACAATTACCTAGGAGCCTATCAAAAGCAGATTGCTGGAAACTGGCTCAGTAGGTCTGGGGTGGGGTTCAAGAATTTGCATTTGTATCAAGTTCCCAGGTGATGATGCTGCAGGCCAAGGGGTCCCGCTGTGCAAATCACTGACCCAGAAGAATCTAAGTCATTTAAATAAGTCAACTCATCCAAGGATTTATTGCACATACATATAGTGTATGAGTTATATGGTATTGAGAGCTTTCACTGATGGTTCATTGGGGAAAAGACACAAAGCAGATTGCTGGAAACTGGCTCAGTAGGTCTGGGGTGGGGTTCAAGAATTTGCATTTGTATCAAGTTCCCAGGTGATGATGCTGCAGGCCAAGGGGTCCCGCTGTGCAAATCACTGACCCAGAAGAATCTAAGTCATTTAAATAAGTCAACTCATCCAAGGATTTATTGCACATACATATAGTGTATGAGTTATATGGTATTGAGAGCTTTCACTGGTGGTTCATTGGGGAAAAGACATGCTCTAGAATCAGAATTCCTCACAGATGTAATTTCGAAACTGCTAGAGACCCTCATTTTCACAGTTCTTTCTCAGTGATTACTAGGTGCATACTTCATGCCCTTCAAATCATCAGTTTTTTATAGAAACTCTCTTGGGTACCAGCATTGCTGGGAGAAATAAAAGAATTGAAAACATGACTCTGAGGATTGTTGAACACCCAGCAGGTAAGGCCTGAATTCTCTAAAAATCCCTAAGAGCAGACACTGCAGGCCGCAAGGTGCATAATTTCAGACTCCTGACATATTTGCTCTCTTTTTCAAAACCAGCCAGAGAAACATCTTTTCAGGTCTCCCATGTCACTGATTCTTACAGAAGGAGAGAGCAGCAAAGCGGGCAATTTTGTTCATGTGGTATCTGGAAGGAGAGTTACAGTCTAGTTTGAACTCCTGTGAATGGATGGAGAATGACCACTAACCTGTTTCCCCGAAACCCAGACTACATACCATTTCCCTGGTGGTTAAACACAGTTTAAGTCTATACTATTACATTTGGGGTTTACTTTCTTTTTAAAAAAATATATTTTATTGATTTTTTTACAGATTGCATGTTTCTGGGAATCTATCCACTTTATCCAGATTGTCTGATTTGTTGGCATATAGTTATTGGTAATATTTTCTTACAGTGCTTTGTATTTCTTTGGTGTCAGTTGTTACTTCTCTTTATTTCTGATTTTATCTTTTGGATCCTCTTTCTTTTTTCCTTGATGAGTCTAGTTAAAGGTTTGTCGATCTTGTTTATCTTTTCAAAGAACCAGCTCTTGATTTAATTATCTTTTGTATTTTTTTAGACTCTATTACATTTATTTCGGTTCTAATCTTTTTAAATATATATATTTTTATTGATTTCAGAGAGGAAGAGAGAGGGAGAGAGAGATAGAAATATCAATGATGAGAGAGAATCATTGATCTGCTGCCTCCAACATGCCCCCCACTGGGGATCGAGCCCTCAACCAGAGCATGTGCCCGGACTGGAATCAAACCGTGATCTCCTGGTTCATAGGTCAAAGTTCAACCACTGAGCTATGCCAGCTGGGCAAATGTTGTATTATTCTTATTATATATATTTGATTATAAGACAGGCTATGTGAATAGCAAATATCATTTGGCTTATAAAAGTTCATTTTTATAGGCAACCTTTTCAAATATGCTCAAATAAAATAGAGAATGCTTGGGCTGCATTTTAATAATATCCACTAGAGGTGGCAGAGAGGTACTATTTTAGCCTAGAAAAATCTTTCAAAGCTGAAAATAAATTCCTTAAGGTTAAGTTTTAAAGGGACTATATTTAAGGAAAACAAACTGCTATTTTTTTCTTTTTCTTCTTTTTTTTTAAATGGCTGAAAGCCCCATGCCCTTGGCCACAAGCTTAGTCTCAGAGTGTTGGCAGCTCTGGGCCAGCCACTGGACCTGCTGGTGCAGGGTTATTGTGATGCAGTTCTTTAAATACATGGTGAAGTCATGGCTTCTCTTCCCGAAAACACAGCTTGTTACCCACACCCAGAATTCTGCATAAAACTTTTAGGGATTGGATGGCTCTTATAGATGTTGAGAGTTTAGTACACTTGACCTATGGTCTCCATTTCTTTATTTATCCTTTGTTCCTCTATCCATTCCAATTAGGTTTTTGCTTCCATGAATCCAAGATAACTGTTATCTTCCAGTTTTCAAATGGCTTTCCTCTTGAAGGTCAAATCCAATGATCTTGAAGATCAGATAACATCCACAAACTCATCACACTCAACTTTTCTGTAGGATCTGACACAATTGTTTACTCCTTCCCTATTAAAACACGTTCTCAAGTAGCCTCCAGGTCACCGTGCTCCAATCTCCTGGTTTCGTTCATACCACTTTGGAGAATTTTTGCTCTAAACTTTGGAGAATTCAATCACAGGCCCTGTTCTCTATCGACACTGACTCCCTGGATGGTCATATCTAACCATATTGTACTCCAAGATTGATCACTCTAGCTTCTGTTTTCCCCTACAATCCCAAAAGCCTACTTAACTTTCCACTTGGATATCTAATAGGTCTTCAAACCTAACAGGCCCAGACAGAACTCATGTTCTTACTCCAGCTTTTGAAATGCTACTCTTCAACAGGTCCCATGTTCTCAAGAAACAGTACCACCATTCACTCAGTGGATTAGGCCAAAGACCTAGAAGTCAAATCCTCAAACTTCACATCCCGTCCATCAACTGATCCTGTTGAATCTACATTTGAAATATAGCCTAAATTTCCCCAACTGCGGCCTTGCCCAAGTCTCCATCATCTCTTGCAGGCTCAACAGTAAAATCCTGTAACAGCTTCTACTGTCATTTATTCTCTGCACAGAAATCAGAGGGACCTCTTACATGTAAATCTTCGCACATCACCTCCAAGCTCAACACTCTCCAATGGCTCCATATTAGTCTTTGTTTATGTTTTAATCTCCTTGTATGGCCAACTCAACTCTCTGAACTCATCTCCTATACTTTCCTAATCCACTTTAGCCACACAGGCTTTCTTGATATATTGGAGCAGGCCAAACCTACTCCCCCGCCTCTCCTCCTCCCCCGCCCCCACCTTTACACTTCACTTAGACCATCAAATGTCTTCCTCTCTCTTCATTCAAATTTCACTTCAAATGTCATTCACTCGGAGATAACCTCTCTACCAAGTTAAAATAGAAACTACCCACCCTCCCAAGTTACTCTCTAAGCCAGCGGTTCTCAACCTGTGGGTCATGACCCTTTCGGAGACGCCTCCGCCTCTCCTCCTCCCCCGCCCCCACCTTTACACTTCACTTAGACCATCAAATGTCTTCCTCTCTCTTCATTCAAATTTCACTTCAAATGTCATTCACTCGGAGATAACCTCTCTACCAAGTTAAAATAGAAACTACCCGCCCTCCCAAGTTACTCTCTAAGCCTTTATATTACTTTCTTCTTTCTGCTTTTTTCTATCACTTCCTGAATTATATATTAATTTGTGTACTCCATTATTGACTCTCGCACTAGAACATAAGCCACCTGAGGACAGAGTCTTTATTTTACTTACCACAAATTCTCACAAAAGCCATGTGCTATAGCTGTTATGGCTTTTTTGAGATATACTAGTAGTGTTACCCATTTTTATGGTTGAGTAAACTAATATTTTAAGAGGTTTTTTTACTGTCCAAGGTTATGCATTAAGTAAATGGCAAAACCGAATTCCAAATTCAGGTCTGACCCCAAATGCAGTTGACTTTCTTGATTGTTTGATTGATTGATTGATTGATTGATTGATTTTAGAGGGAGAGAGAGCAAGGGAGAGAGAGCAAGGGAGAGAGAAAGAGAGAGTGAGATTTGTTGTTCCACTCATTTATGCATTAATTGGCTGATTTCTGTATTACTCTAACTGGGGATCAAACCCACGACCTTGGCATATTGGGATGACGCTCTAACCAACTGAGCACCAAGCCAGGGCATCACTGACTTTCTATTCACCGTAGTGCCTTCTGTGACATATTATGGCTAAACCTAGTGGCTTGAGATTTCTGCAACATTTGATGTAGTTGATGGCTCTCTCCTTAACCATTCTTCCTTCCTCAAATTCCTTGATACTAAAATGTCCTCACTCTTCTCTTCTCTGGATAGTCCTTCTAATTCTCCTTTATGAATAATTTTAAATCACCCCCATTTTCAAATGTGGATGTTTGCCAGGGTATTACCCAGAGTCTTCTCATCTTGTTTCATGAGTTCTCCCTGAATCGGCTCAGCTATTCCCGTAGTTTCCTCTACTATATCACTGCCATGCTTTTGAAATCTGTGTCTCCAGGCTAACTCTCTCTTCCCAGATGTCCCATAAGTACCTAGGGTCCACGTCCAAAATTAAACTCATACCTCTCCCCATTGCTCTTTCCCATGTGTCACCCATCCCAGTGAATGCCATGGCCTGTTATCCAAGTCTAGAACCGGAGAGCCATCCTCCATCCCACTCCAGATCACCGTATCCCACATCTCATTAGGCTATCAGGGCTATCTTAGCTTGGCTCAGGATCCAAACTGTTGGCTCATATGCTAGCTCCCTCTTATAAACATATGGACATATTTATTTGTTCTGCATTGGGTTTTTTAAATATATGAAGGAGTTGTCAACATTTTAAATAATATCAGGACTGTTTATATACAAATCTAGATTTCTAGATTATCTTGGGTGAAGAGAAAGCGGGGAAGAGAAAGAAAGATGTGACAACAGAGTCGACATTCACAGTTGGCAGCAGTCACACTGTCCTTGCTGGCCTCTCCACCCAACTGTTAAACGTTGCTCACCCAGTTCCCCAGTCAAGTGGGGCATATCACATACTATTTAATGTTTACACATTCACTGCAGACTTCCTCTTCTTGTGGTAGAAATAGGGAAAAAGTATTTCTCTGGCATTCATGCCTCCAGCACAAGTAGAAAGAAAATAAGACTGGAAGAGCCAGTTAATTTTTACCCCTGACTTTACTTCCTTATATTACCTGCCTGGTTTCGCTCTCTCTCAGAAGTTCTCTCAGATAGAGAAGCAATATATACTATTTCTTAGGTATACCCCAGTCTATCTCAATTCTAGGGACTCCAAGCTATATACATGTATCCAAGCATGTTTGTGGAGCTGTGTATACATTAGTTGGGTTCATTTGAATTTTCAAACAATAAATTTCACAGACTCTCACAATGATACGGTTGCTGAAGGTGAGATTCCAAAAAGTGTCCAGACTGGGCTTCCCCTCAATGTTGGTAAAGCACCTATACATGGGCACATAAGAAAGTGCATGGAGGTAAACCTACTGCAGAGATGATGCCATTTGTTTAGAGGGGGGTTTGTCCCAAAGTTAAGCACCTCACATTATATCACATTTTAATTATGACTGAGTTAATTATGTCAAGTATCCAGAAGCATTAGACTTAAATTATTTATGTGCTTTTTCTCTTTTTCTTTGGTTGGTAAAAGATCAAAAGTTTTCTCTCCTTGGGTTGAGTGAAATTGGTAAAAAAAAAAATCAAAAAAAAAAAAATCAGGAGATCCAGAAGTTAGGTGTTATGGACATCTAGCAGAGTGAGCAACACATTTCTTTTGGGGTGCTGTTGTTTGGGTAGGAACAGGGGACTCGGGATAAGGAGCTGTGCAGTCTCCTGGGGCCCTCAGCTGCACGCGCTGTCCC